ATTTGCATGGTTCCCAAGATCATTCCTCATGTTTTTGCCTATTGCAACTTTTATTCTAGCCATTCATCTCATTTCAGGAAAATCTTTCCTTGATTCTCTTTCATAATTTAGTCATAGAAATATTTTTGCCTTAAAAAAGTTCTATTATTTAAGAAGCCACCTAAGCCCAAAGCCTGTTTCTATAAGTGATCTTGTTTGGAACCTCCCTTAGGATAATTTTTATGCCTTGTGGGAATTATATTCTCTATATGAATTTCTGACTGTGATGTGGAAGTCGATTATAGAGGATAAGAGAAACTGTTATGATCTCAAAACAATTATAGGTAAAGAAATATTTTAAATTCAATTTTTAAACCAGATGGTTGTGGCACTTGATTATTCTCTGCTCATTCTCCCTAACTGCCAAAGCCATTTCCTCTTCCTCTCCATAAATGCTTTTTCAAAAGGCTACTGGACTTCCTTTGTTTTTTCTTGAAGATGTTTGCCTTCTCATCCAAGAAAGCCTCTTCAGTTTTGACTGAATGGGTGGAGAATGGAAGGATTTATATATACCTTGCAGTCATCTGATCATTAGCACCCTTTCTGAGAGTTGCTGAGGCCACTTGGAGGTTTGGAATATAAATCCTTCCATTCTTCACCATTCAGTTAGAACTGAAAGAGCTTCTTGGATGAGAAGGCAAACATCTTCAAGAAAAAACAAAGAAAGTCCAGTTGCCCTTTGAAAAAGCACTTTTGGGACCTGGATGACAGAATCTCCATAGACGTCTCTCTCTCTCTCTCCATCTTTTAGATCAGGATTATTAGAAGTAAATAATCCCTAAATCAATTCAATAGCACGGTTTAAATTCAGCTCTTGCAAAAGAATACATTAAATGCCATACTAATATATTAACATTTGGAGTAATGTGCTTTCTGTGCTCTGAATCCTATTGAAAAAAAACCCAAGACAGGTTGATCAGAGCCGGCTTGATCTAGTGGTTCAGGCACCAGACTAAAAACCTGGAGACAGTGTATTCTAGTCTTGCCTTAAGCACAAAAACTGGCTAGATATTTGGCCACCTTTTCTCTCTCTCCCTCCCTCCCTCTCCTTCTCATCTCAAAGGGTTGTTGTGGGGAAAATAAGAGGAGAGGGATATTAAGTATGTTAGTTACTTTGAGTTTTTAATAAAAAAATAGAGGATAAAACATCTAAGTAAAATAAGGCACAATTATAACTCCTTTAAGAACAAATCATACATATTAATCATCATTAACATGTAATAGATAAAATTATAGGGATCAAATTTTGGTAAAGAGAAAGGCAACAGAAATATGGTGAACATTCTGAGAAATACTAGCGGTACAAGAGGATGGTTTTAGTGATGCTTCTGATTATATGACTGCTTTGTAAGTTAGAGCAGAAAAATCTGAAAATAATCAGCGAAAAATGAGTCTAAAAATGTTCAAAACAAAATAGGAAGATAGTACCTTTATTAATTGTATATGATTTATTTGGTGTTTTTTTAAACTTACCAGCTGCAGCTGATAGAGCTGGTTCAACATCGTCATATGCTGAGGATTAATTGGCGAGGTTAATAGTGCAGGATTGAGACCAATGTTTTTTGCTGCAAACTGCAAAAGCTGTGCTTGAACCTGAGATAGAATAAAACAGTTTATATAATTTACACAATTGCTACACTTACTCACCAGAATTTCAGCCAAATACACAAATGGGACGTGATCCGACTTTCTGTGATTATGTTTCTTTTTGATAAATATATAAAGACACCAAGAAATTTATAGTAACTGCTTGTATAATAATAGCATACTGTATTTGCTACATATCATAACCAGGGTTTTCTTACTTATGATTTCTACTTAATATGTGTTGAACATGGTGTAGAAATAGTCACTGTTAGAAATATAACAAATCTTTGCAAAACTGAAGAAAAAAAAGTAGCACCATGATTGCTTCAGGAATAATCAGTGTTAGTGGTTAATGCAACCTGGCTCTATATTCCTGGCTACCGACAAAGAAATTATCCCAATTCTCATATAATTTAAAAAAGAGTTTTTAAATTTCAATGAGATGTTTCTCCCTTATTTAGTTCCAAGGTAGCCAAGAGGTGTGCACGTCTGTTCTATCTTCAACTATACCATCCGTTTTTTTTGGGTGGTGGTGGTGGTGGAGTGTCCTTGGTGCTCTCTGAGCTTGTTTGTTTTCTTGCAGACGTTTTATTACCCAAACTAAGTAACATCATCAGTGTTAGCGATGTTAGCACTGAAGATGTTCCCTCGTTTGGGTAATGAAACGGCTGCAAGAAAACAAGCAAGTTCAGAGAGCATCAAGTCAACCCTGAGCTACAAATATTCTCCTTTATTTGTACCATCCTTTCTCCAGTGACCTTCAGTTCCCATTAAATCTCAAGAGAAAGCATCACTCTTTCCCCTAGAAATGATCCACCCAATTTCTTCTCTCCAAATTTAGCAGTGACTTTTGATCAGCCATTTGTGTCCAGCTCTGCTGCCTATAATACTGTTGATGTCCACTAACCTGAGGGGAGAGAAACTGAGGCACTTGAGCACGAAGACTAGGCTGGGATGAGTTAAGAGGTTGCACTGGCGGTTGCTGCGGCTGTTGCATGGTCCTGGCTTGTGCTGCTCCGCTATTGCCAAACATACCTAGATTGCCACTCGGTATCTGCAGAATAACAAAATTCACATTTTTCAGAAGTGCATTTTACTTGGTGGCAATTCTTTGAACTGCTCTACATGTTACTGAACAGGAACTCCCTTGTAAAAATTAGCAGATTTTTCAATCAATGCTTGAGTGAAATGTTACATTAACGCTCAGAAAGTATCAGTAGTAGATACCAATATACTGATGTTTTAGGAGCTATCTCCACAAATATCTACCCTGTGGAGTAGAACTATCTAAAAGTATATAAAACGCATATATGTAGTTAGCCATATGTGGGCACCTCCCTCTCTGGTGAAATATCTGGAATGCTGTTAGAAGACAGTCAACAATATGGGGAGAATTGGACAGTTCTTGGACAGCAAGTTGGACCATCCAAACAGTCTAGTGTAGCCTAATGTTTTATTTTTGTTGTCAGTGGATAGTTTAGGAAGCATTAGGGTTTTATTATTTTTTCCTGCAAGTGAAAACTTTCTCATACAGCCTTCCTGACGCGCTGAACAGGCAGCTTGGAGCGAGGCTGCCTTTCGCGACCACTGCGGTTGAGGCACCACCGGGAGGTTCATCAGCGGCCGCTGGCGAGCTCAGGGGGCAGGTAGGAAGGTTAGGGAGCCCCCAGACGCTGTCGGAGGACTGTTTCTAGCCCCAGAGGTTCTACTGAGCTATCCGGATTGCCGAAAGTTCTCCGGTGCTGCTCCAAAGCTTGTGGTGGCCATTTTGAAAGGAAAAAGTGCTGTGCTTAATTTTCCCGCCGTTTAAAATGCCACAGCCTGGTTTCCAAAGCAGATCGCTGCTGGGAGGGTGTTTAACATCGGAATCTCATTCGGGGGCTCCAGGCAGGTTCCCCCCTCCCCAGGAAGACTATTGAAGGCGGCCACAGGGAGTTTGGCTTTGCTCTGGCCATTCCCTGTTTTATTATAGCGTGGATCCAATTTCCAATTTGGCGCCAAAACCTTGCACCGCTGTTGCTCCCTGTC